TTTTTTTCCATTTTAATAGAAGGGGAGAAGAACCAGAGCCACTCATTGAACAGCTCAGCATCGTGGAGGCGTCTGGGACCGTGTGTCCTTGAAAATAGCACAGTCGAAGGGGCCCCACAGCTGGCTGCAAGGTGCAAGAAGGCACGTTACACTGGGAGCTCCAGGTCCCAGCCCTGCTGCTGTCCTATACTTGCTGTGTGACCTTGGACAGGTTCATGTTCCACTCTGGCTTTCCTACAGCCCCAGCAGAGCTTACCTTCCAGGCCCCACTCAATGCCAACTCCTCTTCTTCCCCTGAACTCTTTGAGTGGCATTTGGTGTGGGCAGCTGTTCCTGAGAGCCTGTGAGCCTCCGGAGGGCTGGTTCTGGTCATACTGTGTGCCCGGATACCTCCCCTGCTCTTGATGGCCTGTCAGCCCCCAAGGCGCTGCACTGGTTGATGGGATCTAGCAGTGAGCCATCCTATGACCTGCAGCCCTGACAGAAGAGGGGTATGTAACACATAACCTCCCTAGCCTGTGAGGTGTCACACTAGGAAATGAAACTCCCTGTGCCTCTGTTTCCTCATCTGTAAAACGAGAATACTAATACTCAGTTCAGAGGATGGGAGGAGTTCATGTATATGAGCTACTCAGTGCCTGGCACATAGCAGGAACTTCACAAGCAATTTCCATGGTGATGCTGATGATGGAGCCTGGGCCAGCAGCATATGGGGGCTGAGACAAGGAAGATGGCACATCTGGTGGAGGTATCAGGGTAGGCTTCCAAGCAGGTGGTTGTAGATGCGGCCTTGGCGACTGGGAGGGGTGTGTCTAGGAGGTAGGAGGAGCATCAACAACAGCACAGAGGTAAGAGTATGTACGTAATGCTGGCAATTCTGGAAGTCACCCAGCATGGCTACAGGATTAGGTGAGAAAAAGGAAGCACGAGCCTTGACGCCAGAGGACTGCATAGCCAGGAGGAGGGGAGATGCTGAGGATCTGAGATCTTCCACCACCCCTCTTAGGGTTAAGGAGCTGTCAGGAAGGAGGTGGGAGGCGTGGTCCTTCTCAGGTTGCGTGTCCCAGTCTCCCTCGTCAGCTTCTGCATGTACTTGCTCCTTTGGAGGGGTGCTGACACAGGTGAGGAGACACTGGATGAGGAGACCTGGCTCTTCTCTGCAGCGCCTCTCGCCCCTCTCGCCCCCAGGAGTTGCTGGGACCACAGGCATGTGCCACCATGCCTGGCTGAGACCTGGCTCTTGTTCCAGCTCTGGTACTTCCCAGTGGTGCAGCCCTGGGAAAGCCACCACCTCTTTTTGGGGCTCAGCTTAGTCACACACAAAAGGAATGTTGTGAGGCTCAGAGAGTGAGAGGTGCCCCATGAAGGGAGATGTTAGGGTCATTACCTACTCACAGTCTTCGTCACAGTTCTGAGCAGCTCTCTCCATGTATTTTTTGTCCCTACACCACTAAATGGCCCCCTCTGAAAGCCCTCCCTAAAGCAGGGCCCCCTCAAACCTTCAAGTTAACTGTAGCTCAGTCCAAGGGTTAAAGGCTCAGACCTACAGAACCTTAGAAGAAGCAGAGGCAAAAGTGCTGCTGGCTATCCCATACTCTGTCACTCAGCTGGTGGGGAACAGGCCCAGAGAGGGTTTGTGATGTGCTCATGCCACACAGCAAATCAGGCAATGCCAGGCTGAGCACATAGGTGTCCCAGCTCCTGAGGCAGGCCCCCAGACTATTCTCTTGTGCCTCCCATCTGAAGAAGGGGGTGGTGGCTGAACTGGGTCTCGAACCATAGGGCAGAGCACCATGGTGGAAAGTCAGAAGACATCTTGCTTGAGGGAAGGCCTTGGAGGATGGGAAGGTGTGGGCTCAGAGACTGGAGGGGCCATCTGATTGGAAAATGAGGGGAGGCAGAGTAGGAGAGCCTAATTTGCTGAAGGACATAGATCTTCCCTGCTTGACGCAACCACCCACCTCATAGAGGCATTGGGCTCAGAGCTGGGCCGGGGCCAAATGCTTCCTGTATCCACCAAGGAGTCAAGACTAAATGTAACCCCCATTACCTCACTGCCATGGGAGGAGCCCCGGTCATTCCCTGGCAAGTGGGTGAGTCTTTACTCCACCCCAAAGTACCTGGTAGGTCACCTTATCTGCACCATAACCTGGCAGTGAGAGGAGGGCAAGTCCCTATTTTTAACCTCAAGGCCCAGCCCAGACCCGGAGCCCAATCTTGGCTCCACCCACTCAGCAGCTCTGAGATCTTTATTGTTTTGTTTAGTTTTTTTTGAGACAGGGTCATGCTCTGTTGCCCGGTCTGGAGTGCAGTGGCACAATCATGGCTCTCTGCAGCCTCAGCCTCCCAGGATCCAGTAATCCTCTGACCTTAGCCTCCCAAGTAGCTGGGACTACAGGCATGTGCCACTATGCCTGGTTAATTTTTGTATTTTTTTGTAGAGACAAGGCCTTGCTATGTTGCCCAGGCTGGTCTTGAACTCCTGAGCTCAAGTGATCTGCCCCACTTGGCCTCCTAAAGGCCTGAGATTACAGGTGTGAGCCGCTACGCCCAGCCAGCTGTGAGATCTTGAGCAGGTCACTTAACCTCTCTGAGCCTCTTCCCTTAGCAGGGAATGACGACTGGCTTGTGGAGAGGATACAACAAATGTTTCCAAAGTGCCCGGCACACAATAAGTACTCAATAAATGTGATTTTCTTCCCACCTCTCTAGTATCGATTTTAGATACTTAAGTTCCAGAAGTGAGGAGTGGGGAGTGGGAACAGAGAAGGCAGCTCCTGGATGAGTAGGAATCCCTGCTGTGTATCTGCCCCTACCGCAGCTCACACTAGGAGGCCATGCTTGCCACACCCCACACAGGTCTTTTGCTTCCCTCAGGGACCTCAAGCCTCTAACCCCCACCATCCTGCTGGCCCCCAGATTTTCTGCCTCCTGAAACCTGGGCCCAGGGCCCAGCAATTGTCCTCTCCACAATCCGCTGGTAGCTCCCACCGGGCAGGGAAATTAACAGCATTTGAGTCTGTTCTGAAGGTAGGCACAAGCCAGCTGCCCCACGCCGCCCGTGCCCTCCTAGTGGAGCCAGGTGACCTCTGGGCCTGCAGGGGCTGAGCAGGATGCATCTTCCACTCTGGGCCACTAGGAAGTGATGGTACTGTCCTCTCTGTCTCACCAGCAGATCTCCAGGCCTAGTGAGGCTAAGGCTCTTGGGGTGAGGGTTTTGGACACACAGTTCCCAGTGAGGCCTGATGGCACCACAGACCTTACAGGGGCTCAGAGGGGGAAAGCATTTTGCTTAGGGCCACACAGTCTATGGATAAAGACACAGAGCCGGGGCTAAGAGGACAACAGGGAACTCTGTTAATGGGTGCCTGAGTTCCCATCCTGACCAGTGTTGGGGAAGCCATTCACAGTCTTCTCTGAAAAGAGGATGGTAGCAGCATCTAACTTAAGACAATGTGCAAATTCAATAAGTGAGCTGAGTTCTCAACACCTAGGAGGCCCCACCACAGTACTCAGCACACAGTAGGCAATAAATAAGTCATACCTTCTTCCAAGACCCCAGAGGTATCCAGTCTGCCCCATTATCTCTCTGGAAGATGAACAAAGAGAGCAAGGGCTTCAGAGACCCAAGGACGGGAGCCTAGGGCAGACCCAGGGCCCTGGTGGGTTTCTGACTTGCCACCATGCTTGCATAGAAGGGGACAGCTGAAATGGTCCCTGGTTCCATGCTACTAAGTTGAGCCTACCTGGCTCCTCTGCCCTCTGCAGCTACTTCCTGGGCTCCAGATGTAATTACTGGTGGGAGAGTAGGGGGCTGGGATGTGGGGTGGGGGGGTGGAGCTTCTGGACAAGAGACTTTGAACATGAGTAGTCACCTCCTTGGTCATCTGCATCCCCCAATTCCTGGAAGTGGGCAGGCCCTGGGTACTTACTGAGGAGTCTGGACAGAAAGGTTGAGAGGGCTGGGCGTCCAGACCTAGATGGTCATTAAGGCAACATGAACTAGTCTAGTTTTTAGCTGGGCTGCATGTTTGTATCCCAAGTCCTTAAACACCCAGAAACTCTCTTGGGATTTTGGATTTGAGTATGAGGTGGCTGTATGACTGCTGTAATGCTGTGGATTGCTGGGAGTGGGACAGCTGTATCTCCAGCCTCCATTCTGCAAGCTGAATTCCTACCTTCAGAGCTTTCTCAGGTGGCCCTGGTGGACCTACTTGTGAACTTGGGCCACACACAGGCTGAGGAGGAGGGGCTCCCTCCCACAGGAATGTGCTGGGATCATGACTCCCTGGTGTCCCTAGAGGTCTGGAAGTGCTTTCAAATCACCACCCTCTCCAGGGATGCTCAGCTGCCACCTACGGGGAGGGCGGGGTGGGGGGGGGTTGTGTGGGAGAGCAGCAGTGATCACAGTCTATGTCCATGTGACAGGTATGAAGACTGAGGCCCAAAAAGAGTGCCTTTTTTTGCATCCAATGGCAGAGGGAGGCAGAATTTCCCCTGGGGAAAATAAAATAACACCCCCACTCCCCTGCCGCTTGCACTCCCCATACCCCGTCCCCCACGCCCGGGTGGACCTGAGCAGCAGTTTTCTGAGCTCTCAGGAATTCCAGGCTGAGTTCACCGGCTGTCAGACTAGCGGAGCCTTGAGAATGAATTCAGAGCTGGCAAATTCATTTTGCCTTCTCTCCCTCGGTGGTGGAAGGAGTGATCTCTCCGGCTCTGAAGGAGTTCAAGCCGAGGTCAGCGAAGCCCTCAGAAGGATGTTCTAAAATGGGGTTGAGGGGGTAGTGCTCCAGCCTGCTTCCTTGGTTGGCCCAAGGTCCGCGCTGATCACCGCCCAAGGGGCCCGGGGGACCCGCAAGTCTGTGCAGCCCGTCCGCTCCCTTGCGGGGCCTCGTCAGTCAGGCGGCGGCTCCGGCAGGGCCAGGACATCTTCGGCCCGCCCCAGGCCCCGGGGGAGACCCCCGCCCCGGCCGCCTCCGGGTGCCCGCCCCCCGGCAGTGTCATTGTTCTCTGACGTCACGCCTGGGCCCCGCCCCTCTCCCCCTCCCTTCCTTCCCCCACCTCCGGCTCCCCGCGCCCCCGACCCCGCAGCCTCCGAAGCCCCGGCCGCGCAGGGCTCCCCCCGCAGCCCGGCCGGGGCTGCGCCCCCTTGCGCTCTACCCAACTTGCCTTTGTTATTCCAGCTCCCTTCCTCGCCTCGCCTCCGACACGGCGGCGGCCTGCAAAACGTGGAGCGCGGAGTCACCGCCACACCTGGAATCCGAAGCGGGCTCCGCGGGCTCCAGGCCGAAGCCGCCCCCGCCTGCTGGGGAGGGGAGCGCGTGCGTGCGCGCCTGTGTGTGTGTCCAAAGGGGGCTGCGCGGGCGCCGATTATGATTGGGACTTGGGGTGCCGAAAATCAGGAGTGGGGGCCCTTGAGGAAGGGGTATGGAAGAGGAGTGGGAGAGGAGGGCGTGTATTTGTGTGTGTACGTGAACGTGAGGATTTAGTGCCCAGGGGAACCTTTCGTGTTTTGTGTTTTGAGTGTGTGTGGGGTTGTATACAGCGATGTGTATAAGTGTGCAACTGCGTGTCTCTGAGCGTGCTTGCTGTGGCAGTGTAAGCAGGCATCTTTGTGAGAGAAAGTAAGCGAGTGTGTGGGGGCGCGTTTGTGGTTGGGGGGAGCGTGTTTGCAATGCTGAGGGAGCGAACGTGTGTGCTGTTCGTGTAGGAGTTTCCGTGAGAGTGGCAATGGACGTGAGCCAAAGTGGGCGCGCACTTGGATGCTCTCGGGGGTGGGTCTGCTAGGGGAACTCCCGCGAGTGGGCGCACCCAACTGCGCCTCGTGAGTACCTTAACTCTCGGCTACCTCAGGCAGTGCCTAAACCGGGGCGGAAGGCCGGGCGCAAGCCTAGCAGCCCCCGCGCGACCCGCGCGCACAGCGCTCCGGGCGCTCCGCGCGGGGCCTCCGGGAATCCACGAGTCTCTGGACTGTGCTAGGTGCCGCGGATCGACTGTGCGCACCGCACCCCCCGCTCCCCCACAGCTGTTGGGGGCCGCGCTCTAGTCTGCCCCAACGTCATCCTTGGCGGTGGTGGTCCTCTTCCCGTCCCACCCGCCAGTCCCCGGGCTGAAGGAACAATTCCAAAATCTCCTCCAGGGGAAGACTTTGGAAATCCAGTTAGCAACTCGCTCACCCCCAGTTCGGGTACCTGATAGCGCCCGAGGCCACGAGTGCACTCCAGGCGGGGGCGCGCCAGCGCGGGGCAGGGGCTCTCGGGTGAGCCGGGTGATTTTGGCTTCCTCCCCCAGGGTGGTCCCTACCTAGGCTCACATTTCCTCCCCTCTCCAAACTTACAGGGGCTGTGGCCTGCAGGGGGGCGGGGGGGCTGCAGGGGGCGTTAGGGAGTAGCGGAGGGAGTAGGACAAGGAGGGAGGTGAGTGGACGGGCGACGTAGCGGGGAACGAGGAGCCAGGAGGAGAAAAGCTTGGAGAGCGCCGGCACCGAGGAACAGGGAAGAAAGCGAGGAAGGGAACGAGAAGAGGCGGAAAGGAAAGGGGAAAGAGAGCTCGCAGCGAGAGCGCAGAGCGCGAGCCAAGCAGAGCGGAGCAGTCGAGCCGAGCGCTGTTAGCGGCGGCGGCACGGCGCGGCGCTCCGCTCCGGCCTGACTCCGCACCGGCTTTTGCGGGCGGCCGGCGGCGCGGGGCCCTTTGGAAATAGAATAGCCAATGTAATCTGACACTTCAACTTGCTCGGCTCCGGGCGAGTTGATTCACTTACTCACCCCCTAACGCCGAGTTCCTTTTCACTGTCTGTGGACATTAAAAAAGCGAGCGGCGGCGGCGGGCGCCGGGGAGAGCGAGCGGCCGGGCGGCAGGCGGGCGAGCAGCGATCGGGAGGCAGAACGAGCGAGCAACGCCGGCGCAGCGCGGTGACCCCAGCCCCAGCCGGCGCGGAGCGGGAGCCGGAGCCGAGCGGATCTCGGAGCCCTCATTGCGCTCCTCCCGGCCCGAGCCTGCCCTACCCGGCGGTGGCGGCGGCGCGTCCTCCAGCGGCGGCAGCGGCGCTCGCAGCGCCCGGTAAGTTTGGGGCCGGAGCCAGGCGCCCGCTGGCTCCGCAGCTACCTCCGGCTCCCGGCGGCCTCGGGGCGCAAGCGTGGGGTGCTGGGTGCTGGGGCTTTTCCCTTAAAGGATTCCCCGGAGCGGGGCGACCGTCTGGCGGCGCGGGCTCCGCTCCGCTCCCCTTGGTGGCCGGGGGCGGAGGCCCAGCGGCTGGCGAGCTCCCGGCTGTGCGGAGCCGGCTTGGGCTGCGCGCGGGGGCCGGGTTTGTCGGGGTGTGCTGGGCGTAAGTGTGGTCGTGCGCGCGCGGACCCGGTGCCCGCCTCCTGCCGGCGCACCTCCAGCCCTCGCTCTCTACACCCGGGGGCCGGGCAGGACCGGGAATCGGAGGAGGGAGGGAAGGACCGGGGAAGGACCGCCTCGGTCTCCTTCGCCTCCTCTGGGGAGATGCGAAGTTGTGCGCCAGTGTGTGTACAGGAACCGCTGGGGAAGGCGCCGGATTTCAGGGTGGCAAGGGGTGGTAGTGTTAAGTTGTGCGTCTGAATTTCCAGGGAAAACATACACTTTTGTAAATGGTAGGTGGGGGCGCGGTTAAGTTGTTTGTGTGGGAATTGCCCGGGGAAGGGCGGCGCGCGGTACGAACGAGGAAAGCGGAGGGGTGTGTGTAAGGGCTTCTACTAGGGCTTCGGCAGCCCGAGGGGCGCTCAGGCCAATGCCTGGACGGGGCTGCCCCGGCCAGGAGGGGAGCCCAAGGGGAAGATGTGCGTGTGTGTGCGCGCGCGCGCGTTGCAAATACGAAAGTAATTTCCCGGTGTTCTTTCTTCCTCTTCGTCTCCGGCGGCGGTGGCCCCGAGGGAGTGGGAGGCCGGCCGGGGCGGCGGTTGTGGGGCCGGAGCTGGAGCCGGGGTCGGGGGGGAGGCGGGCTCTGGAAGCCTGTTTCACATTCCTGGCGTCTGGGCTGGGAAAAAAACAGTGGGGAGCGCGGCCTCCGCGTCTAGGGCGCGGGCAGCGGGCGCGCGTCGCCCCCTCGCCGGGTACATCTGTCCAGGAAGCCGGCCGGGCGGGGAGAGGACGCGGTTCGGAGGGCAGGCTCCCCGCCCTGGAGCGGTGGGGGCGCGGGCGAGGGGCGGCCGCCTTCCCGGCCATTGTGCGCCAGCAGATTTTCACGGGAGACTGCCCCGGAGCCGCAGGAGAAGGCCGGGAGCCGGCCTCTGCCCGGGGTTTAAAAGACACTCCAGGAATGTAAACAACCCGGGCGGGAGGGCGGGCGGACGGGAGCGCGCCAGGGCACCCAATCGGGGCCCCCCACCCCTCCCCGAGGGACAGCCCGTCGGCACCGCCGCCTTGCCCTACCCCTCTACCTGCAGCAAACTTTTTCCTCCTCTGCTTTCCCTTCCCACCTCGCCCCTCCAGCAGGTCACTTAGCGAGAGCCGCTCTCGGGTGGGCCAAGGGTGCTTGGTACCCTTGCCTGACCGGGGGAGGCCTGGCGACTGGGTACCTGCTTCGGTGCCCGGAGCTTCCGCTGCGCCTGCCCGGGAGCCGCCAGCTTCCTGGGCTGGCTGTGCCCGAGTAACTGGGGCTCTGAGCCTGCCCGCCTCCCTCCCTCCCTCCCTCCCTCCCGCTGCTCCTTCCCTCGCGCGCTCTCCCCCTTCTCCTCTCCCCTGACTGCTTTTCCAATGCCCTGACATGAGGGAGGAAGATTTAACTTGGCAGCCCAAACAAATGTTCTCTCAGAGGTCCTCCAAGAAGCTGGCGGCTGGGCTGGCGGGGTGAGGGCACGGCTCGGCCAGCCTTTCCCTCCTCTCTGCTCTGCCACGGACATTTGGAGCCCTCTGGGTGGACAGCCCAGGGCATGGGAGAGTAGGGCCCAGCCCCAGTGATTTAAAAGGGCAGTGGGCGACCGCCTGTGGAAGCCCCTGGCTCCGCGCCGGGTGCAGAGCCGCTCCGAGCTGCCTCCTGGTGCCAAGGGTTTTCTGAAGGATTTTCTTGAGCAACAGTTTGTCTCCCTGCTGCAACCTGGGAACCGGGCCTGGTAGACCAGAGGGTTAACCAGTGCCGACTCCTCCTCCCTGGCGGGTGTGAGGACAGGCTGGTTACACCGGGCAGGGCAGGAGGCCAGAGGCTGTTCCCAGAGGTGCCTGGGTTTGCTTATTATTGTTTTTGAAGATGTAGATAAAGAGGCAGGCGCTGGGGCTGGAGAGCCGGGCAGCTTGGCGCTGGTGAATTCCAGCCTGCCTTCGCTGGCGCTGATAGGGTCCCGGGAGTGTGAAGCTGCTGCTGAGCTATCGGGGAAGTTGAGATGAGAGAGCAGGCTCTTAGCCTTCTCTGTCCCGGCCGCTTTGTGAGGGGGTCCAGAGTGGGGGAGATTCCTGGCCCCTCACTCGCCGGCTCCTGGCCCCAGTGCAGAGGCCGGGTGGGTTTGTGAATACCCCGAGCCTTGGGCTGACCTTTCCCTCTTCAAGTCGAGGATGTTGAAACACCAGCATCAAACAAAAGACACATTGAAAGCCCTATCTGCTACAGAGCACGTGTGACTTGGGGGCCCAGGGAATGCATTTGGAGGGAGATGGTGTTTTCTTCTGAGCCTAATGATTTCGGTTGGGTTTTGTTTTCCCCCAAAGGACAGAAGCGGCTCCTTGTCCCAAATCACGAGGTTATGAAACGCTGTTTTCACATGTAAATCTCAAAAGTTTAGACTTCTGAGAGTTGGTGGCAGTGACTGGAGGTGGGGGGCGGGGGGAGGAGAAGGGAGCAGCAGTAGGGAGTGGATTCAAGAGGTGGATTTGGCATTTTGGGTAGGTCTCACTGAGAAGAGTTGGGAATAAGAAATCACCGGTCTTATGAATAAATAGATTTGTCTATGCAGAAAAGGGTTGCTGGCTTCTTCGTGGGGACAAAATG